CCCCCCCCCCACCCTAACAAAAAAGCAAATCCTATGGCAACTGTTTCAAGTAAAAAAGCCAACAAGCAAATTAATGTCGGATCGGTGTCTGCTGTAAAAGGGTTAGGGACTTCACTGTCGCTAGAAGAAGACGTGAGATCGATTCTTGAGTGGTAAGACTTTTCATCAAATAACTCCGTCTGTCTATTTAGACGTTTCATACCTCTCAGTCCAGATTAGGTATGCCAGGCACAATGGAAGCAGACGATCTCATAATGATTTAAATTTTAATTGCATCGATGGAGATGTAAAATGTCTGTATTTACCCAGCCTTCCTTTTTATCATACATTGCTAAGGTCCGACCTTTGCTTTTTTTCCAGAACTAAGACTACCAAGAGACGTGTTTGTTTTTCGCACCAACTTTTCTTTAACTTCGAATTCACGAGGTAATAATGTACTAAAATATACTAGGACAAGTAGGTGTATTTGATTAAATTCAGTCACTTTTCGACGGTACGCACAAAGACTGTCGTGGACTGTTGTAAGGTACCTATTGTTAATGTTTTATAAGTTCTGAAGTTTCACTGTTGTAAAATTGGCGTGGTATTTCTTTACAGCCCTTCAGTCGATGCGCTCTGTTGATTCCCCAAGGACAGGACAGCAATTTAGCTGAGAAAATAACGCAAAAAAATCCCCATTCAACACAAAAAAATAACCAGACACTAAATTCTTCTTTTCTCCAATTTCTTTCACCGCCCGGAAATATTCTGCTCGTAAGCGAGAGTCTTTATTCTGAACAACAAAAGCAGAAGAACGCTCAGTACCCATAACCCCCAACCCCTCCCAAGTCGACTTCAACTTGACCCCCAAAGCGTCTACCCAGCTACAAATGTCCCCTCCATTGTGTCTGGTTCTGCGGACCCCGCCCAGACCCGCAGGTCCAGTTTGGCGCGTTCGATTCTCTGGATCTCTTACAGACCAACATGCTATTATAGAGCCTGCAGTTCCCCTGGAAAAAGAACCTAGTATCTAACAAAATCCTATTTATTTGTTGCGACCTGTCGCAAACTGGAAACGATAATATATCAGTTCTGTAAATATATGTCCAATTTCAGAACTAGTATTATATCCGATTGAAATTTTAGGTTTTGATACGGAAATATAAAAGAGAAAATGAAAGGTTACCGTACAAACATAGTTCTTTTGTTCGTCTGATTGATTAGGGATCGCACGTGCGAGGTTTTTATTCAAATAGATTACCTGGTGTCAGCGAGTGCGGAAACGTCTTGGACACATAGAACATAGATAGATAGATAGATAGACAGACAGTTAGTTTAGTTTTAGTAGAGGTTTTACGGCGCTCGCAACTGCATAAGGTCAGATGAGCGCCAGAAGATTAGAGGTGTTACAAGAAGTAACAAACATAAAAAAGAAGAAGGGGAGACAAGGACGATAGATGCTTGACAGGAAAGAAGGAGCAAACCACACCAGAGCGCCCGCCAACCACCCACTGATAGACAGACAGACAGACAGACAGTCTCTGTATAGAAATTATGATATCTCTAGCGATCTATCTATCTGTGAGTACGAAAGGAGGAGGCGAGTAGCAAACATTCATCTGGCATAAGACATAGCAAGTAGAAACACTCAGTTCTTCAATAAATGTAACCACTGAGCTTTTCACTCAGAGACCACTCTACTCACTCCCTGCAGCTGAGAGCCAAAAGTGGTCATGTCCAAATCACCTGTGTTAAGATTAATTAAATGTATATTGTATTATTATTTTAGGTACAAAGAGTCGGCGGGCGGCAAACTTTCCCCCTTGTTTTTTCCCGGGGCTTTGGGGGCGGGGGGCTAAAACTCGGGGAGGTATTAATAAAAACAAGGTGAAATGGTTTGTTGGTTGTTGTTGTTTTTTTTTCGGTGGGGGGGGGGGTTTTTTGGGGGGGGGGGGGAGTTTCTTCAGATTTATTTTTCATGCATTTTTATGGCTAAAGTTGGAACAAATGGTTCCCAAAGCACAATTTGTTTATTTGGCTGTTTTCTTTTTGTAACAGTTTTTGTTTGTTTGTTTGTTTGTTTACTTGTTTTGTTGTTTGTTTATTGCTTATTGAACCTTTACTTCCTTTTTCTTCATTTCTCCACCCAATGCTCTCTAACAACATAAGGGAGAGAAGTGTTTCTCCTTAAAAATATCATATTGATACAGTAAGTCTGTGACATCCTTGTAAAAATAATTTAAAAAATGCAACAACAATATTTTAAAAAAACACACCATCAAATCCCAAAATCTGTAGAGCACACAATATTTGAGTTCGAGATGTGCACCATTAATTTCTTTTTTTTTAAACAAAATTTTCCACAGACTAACGCAGAAAGCCGGTGAGCGAGACGAGACCTGGGCCCCGCCTTGACCGGGCCGGACTATAAAACCGGAGTGGTCTGTCATGATTGGTCAGAGCATTGTCGTCCAGCGCTGAGAAGAGCAGATTTGTTCAGTACCCGCCCATAGCCTAGTGCAGTACAACTAGTGGGACACGGCGTCAGGAAAAGGTAAGGCTGCTGTGGGAATATTACTACAGTGTAGTCAAAACTTCGGGGTGCAACGTATTGTCAGAATTAGAAAGTTTTGAACAGTTTAAAATACAAAGTTGTAAGTTTCACAACATGTCAAGCTTTTTTTCGGAAGAGATTCCTTAAATATCTTGATAACGACTCCGAATAATCTTTCGATTTTGATGAAACAGATAGAATGTTTGGTTTCTGACTTCATGGTCTTAGTCATTAAGACTCGAACCCCAACCAAAATCAGATAGATCTTTGTAATTCTATGGTAGCGAAATACCTCCTCAACTATCGAACATGGACTCTACAGCTTTTGCACAGTGACTTGTATCGATTTGTCTTAGCAGATCAACATTTTTGTAAACAGATGTTAGCTTTTTTCTCGAAAATGCCTAAATAAACACTGCTATAAAATCACAATGGGTGGTTTCTACAAGTTTTGGTCACAAAAAAGAGTCATTGGTGAGCTGTGACACAGGCCATGCGTATGTTAAATGTGTGTGAGAAACAGGAAGTGCTGTGAACTCTTATAATATTCTGCATGACGAAGATGTGTAGTATTTTATGGAAATCTGTGAAGAAAAGCTTTTAATCAACCTCAGTTGTTGTGGGCAAATATGGTTAAGATAAATATGTTATAATCAGTCACTGTAAGTCTGTTTCGGCAACTGATAAAAACGTAATTGTTTTCCATTCATAAGGCAGCACCCACCCCCCCCCTCACCCCGATAGATAGGCCACCTTAATAAAGGGTCACTTTTAAGCACAAAGAAGCTATCTCGAAAGATGCTGTTTTGTGAAAATCGAAGATAAAGTTTTTGGATCCATGAAATCTGTCTGAAAAGACAAGGAAGGTTTTCTCTATAACCAAACAAATATACGCACCAATGAAACCAAACTTCTCTTATAGGTAGGGCAATGCCCACTTTTGGTGTATGTCAAGATTTCTGGAAACCCCCGAAATCTAGGTTAGCCCACTTGTCCTTAAAAGCGACCAAATGTTTCCTTTGGTGAAACTGCTTCGAATTTTCTGATCACCCCTAAGGTCGACTAACTTTTCATGGCAAAAAACTTACTATCATCAGCTTACTATTTTCATATTGAACATTTTGGAAATGAACTTTGAACTACACTTAAAAAGTCGCGTCAGTAATTAGGTTACCAGACCCGTTAATTGAAATTGTGGATTGGGGGATTCGAAGATCAGTTTTGTCCAATGCTGTGTCCTTTGGAAAGGGACTTTACACGATTTACTTTTCCATTTTACTCAGTCCTATCGGAGATGGACGTTTGACTTGAAGGTCCTGCCTCTTTTAAGCACTTCCCTTTGAGTACACTTGTTAAACCTTGAAAAGTGCAACCTTTAAATACACTTTTCTCCTTTTTATTAACGCATCCGTATCAGTTGCCGTATTTCCGTTCCTTGTATTACGCACGAGCGTTCTACCGTGCTAAACACAACTTGTTAACCAAGTCACGCTACAGTATTTTTACGACCTGAGAAGAATTTGCCCTCAGTGACCCTTGTCTTCTATGGGCAGCGTAGCAGTGGTCCTGTAGGGTAGAGGTTTAATACGCCTCTTCGCTCCTTAAGACCAATTTAGGCTATACAGTGGACTTCCGAATATATTATAAACTCTCTCCAACTGGACCATGCCAGCAGGTGTATGGAGAGCTTTGAAAATTCAAAAACCATCCAAGTATATGGTGGATACACTGTGGGGGATTCGAGTCAGGGTCATCCCCGTGATAGTATTGAGCTAGATCTATCTGCGCATACGTGAAGGGATCGGTTTTTTTGTCTACTTGTTTGGGGTTGGGAATGGGGCGGGGAGGGGGGGGGT